TGCCTCAGGCACCTGCTCCTTGAGTTCCCGTTGAATTCTCACGGGATTCAGAGAGTATTTGGGATGTAGAGCCCGGTGGAAGTGTGGAATTTCCCAGATCGTGCTGTAGAGTGCGGGTGTGAGTTCGGGAATAAAGAATTGCTGTTTGAATCTACAAGGCTGTGAGTGGCTCATGATTTTGTGCCCAGTCAGACTGCGGCACATTCCCTATCTTCTTCACTGTTTTTTTTTAAAATTCATCTTTGTATCCTTAGTCACTAAATGTGGATTTCTTTAATATTATGACCTCATTGTGCTCTAGACTGTTTGCATACTCTATTCTGGAATTCTGGAAACACTCTTAGAAAATTAGAATGATCAAAGATCTTACCGTTTAAAGGACCTTACTGTGTTCCTGGACACCAAAATGAGACCCACAAAGAAAACTGACTTTTTGAGACCATATCCCAACTTAATAAAATATCTGCCCATAATAGTAAAAATCAAACAGGAAAACTGACGTATATAGGTTTTCACTGCTTTATATGAATTGGTTGATAGGATGTTTTAGGATTATACAGACACATACTCAGTGCTCGATCCCTGCACTATCATAACCAAGTTTAGCACAGTGATCGGATGTTCAAAGATGAGTATCTGTTTCTGGAAGAATATATTTCTTTTTGGGTCATCTAAGATCAGCACCCCTAAAAATATACATTTTGGAGCTCTTTCATTAATAAGGAAGACCTTCTTTGGCTTACAATGTCAAACAAAAATCCTCCTGTGTTCCTTTCTTTTTGCAGTGAACTGAGAAGGACAATATATTTGTCAAATTAAAGAAAAACATATTGCCCTGGGCTTTCTCTCCCTTTTGTTTCCTTCACTCCTCAGATGATGCCAAGATCCTTTGAGAGTGGACAAGAGATCCATGACTGGTGCTGACCATTAGATCTACTAATCAAATTTAAAATGCCACTAGGCTAGTTTAGTCATTTTATGCAAGTTCCATGATTAACTCACTGACTACATGACCCTTTTCAGTCCACCTAACCCTCAGGATTAATTGTCAAACAAGAGTAGTACACACCCATCCTTCCGACAGTGCTCATTCTTTCTAAACCAAATACCTACATATATATGTTGAGTCCAAGTACCCCTATGGATAATGCAGTGCCTCTTTCCTTCTCCATCTTTCATAACAGATGTTACCTTTATTTACTCAGGTATTAAAAACAGTTCTTTAGTTCATTTTTCACTGCTGTGATCAAAAGACCTTTTACAAGAACAGTTTTAGAGGTGAAAACATTTATTTGGGGGCTATGGTTTCAGAAGTCTCCATCCCTAGGAGGCCAGCTTCATTCCTCAGGGCTCAAGGTGAGGCAGAACATCATGGCAGAAGTGTGTAGTGGAGGAAAGCAGCTGGGCACATGGCACCAGAAAGCAAAGAGAGAGGTCTCAACAAGGACAAAATATAAAGCTCAAACATCCCCCCACCCAGCAATGATACACCTTCTCCAGCCATACCCTATCTGCCTACCATTACCAGTCAGTTAATCCCTATCAGTGGAACAACACACTGATTAGGTTAAGGTTATTATAACCCAATCATTTCACCTCTACACCCTTTCACATGGCTTTTAAGGGGGATGCCTCATTTCTAAATTATAATAGAAAAACTTGGATTCATCTTAAAGAAGCCTCAAAAATCTATTCTGTCAACTTGACTATTTGTTACTTCTTCCATAATACATTGTTAAATATTGCTCCTCTTTACCTTTTTTCCCTATTTAAACTTTTATCATGATTAATCTGTATTATTCCAGTGGTTTCCAGTTTGGTTTTTGGAGCTCCTTACCTCCCATGTTGAACAGCCAATTTATTCTCCACTGTTACCAAAACAACATTTCTAAAACTTAATCTAATTATATCATCATGTAGTTAATATCTACCATCTGCATTGCCTTTATAAAAATATTTACACTATTGGGCAATATTAAAACATCTTCCTATCCTTTTTTTTATCATTGCTTATGCTAATTATTCTGCCTAGATCTTTAGCTTTGTTTCTTTTTTCACTCTGCCTTTTCTTACCCCATACACTTATAGACTATTTTCCTAACATTCTTCATATGTCACAGTATTGCTATTGTACTTGCTAAAATAGGTATACTTTCTTCACATTCCCATAGTACTGTGTGTCAAGAATTATGAATGGTCTGAAATGTTATCCTAACAAACTAACAAATTAGCCTACTACAGTTTTATGGGTAATGATAGAAGACATAAGACTTTTGAATAAGATAGGAGGGACAAGTTATTTCTTATAGTATTGCAGAAGCTAGAGTATTAGCAGGTACTCCAGTTCTGAATTCCTACAGGCTAAATCACAGAGAGTTAAAAGGCATCTTTAAACATAGTGGATGGTGTTATTGGACAGGTGCTCTGAGCTTAGGGAAGCCAATCTTTTATAATGGGCAGTAAGCCCACCAGCCCTTTGCACAAGAAGAAGAAATCATCTGTACCTTTTAAGATTGATTGTTATATTAACATCTTTGAAAAGAAGTCCAAAACAAGGAACGATTAGCACTTCACTAAAAACATGTGCAGAAAATTAGAGATCCATGAAGAACTGTCTTCCAACACACTGAACATTATGCAATAACAGTTTTTGTAACACTGAGTTTTTTTTTACCCTTCTAACAGTCAATCTTCATCACTAGAATTTGAACTTCTTGACAGTAGAGACTGAGCCTTGTTATTCTGCACCTTGTATAGTGTGCAACATAGTTGGGATTTCAAATACATCATTTAAATAATGTCAGAAATTAATCAAGGAAAAAAATCTTAGATGCACATTATTTTGTGTACCCCTAAACAGAATTTGTATAATTTCAATTAGATAAAAAGAAAGTTTTCTACAAGGTTATAATGAAATATAAAAAGAAGCTATGACAAGTCTTGACTTTTTTTTAAATGACTTTTTTCTTGTTTGAAAGTGAAGTAGTTGAATTCTAGTGTAGATTTATTATTCAAAGCCTGATCTATGAATCTTTATTTTCTTGGATATCTTGGAACAATTCCTAATGGAAAACACACTCCAAAACCCTCTATTTTCATAAAAAAAAAATTCTGACCAAACTGTTGGTTATTTATACTTCCATGGACTCCCCTCAGTAAAGGGAATACACTTACACACAAACCCTTACAAAAGAACACAAAGAAATATTTAGAGGTGATGCATGTTTATTACCTTGGTGTTAATAAACATGGTGTTGACATCATGAATTTTTTACAAATATGCAAACTTATCAAAATTTATATATGTTAAATAGGTATACATTTATATATAAATTATATCTCAATGAAGTTTCAAGAATATTAAAAATATTTTTTAAACTCCCATTTAATTTCCATACAAAGCCTTCCTACCTCAGTTTTAGTTAGCTTTTCATCACTGTGACCAAAGACCTGACAAGAACAACTCAGAGGAGAAAAAGTTTATTTGGCTCACAGATTCAGAGATTTAGTCCATGGTCTACTGACTCCTTTGCTCTGGGCCCATCCTGAGGCAGAACATCATGGCAGAAGAGCATGGCAGAGGAAAGTAGCTCAGGACATGAGAGCCAGGGGGCAAAGAGAGCAAGCTCCACTCACCAGGAACAAAATGTAAACCCCAAAGGCATGTGATCTACTTCCTCCAGCCCACACCCTACCTGACTATAGTTACCTCTCACTTAACCCATTAGAGTTGATTAATCCACCGATCAAGTTACAGTTCTCACCATCTAATCATTTCACCCTTGAACATTTTGCATTCTCTTTCAGAAAAACCTCATGTCCAGACCTTAACAGGTCAAATCTTCCAGGTCTGATTTCTCCATCTCTTCCCTTACACAGCAGCCATAGTAGGAAGTGCTTTCTTCCTGGGGTCTAGATAAGGGTGGCACTGTCCTCTGTCCATTGTCCTCTGTCCAATCTTATGAGTAGAGCTACAATCTTCTGAAAGAAATGAAGGTGGTATTCTGGATGTGTAGAGAACTTGGGTGAGGGTAAAGAGGTTTGGAGACTGATGCAACACTAAAAATAATTTTATTTAGACATTCCAAGGGTGGCCTAGCTCAGAAACAGCTCCATCTGCAGGAAATACTGTTCTCAATATGTCCCAAATGGTTAAAAGTGGCCTGTTCTTTCCTACTTGTTTTCAGTCCTTGGCCCATCCATGATTTAATAGGGAAGCTATGGTATCTCAAGAACATCATTGTGAAAGCACAAATATAATTCAAAGGGAAGAAGGAAATAAGGGGGGAAAGGGCTCACCTATAATAGTCCTTTGCATTTCCATATCATTAAAACATATATGAGTTTTATTTTATTTTATTATCTTTTAATGGGAAAAATTTAAGCATTTATATTTATTGCCATAATTGATATCCTGAGGCTTTAGCACACTGTATAAGTTTTCTTGGCATTTCCTTAATTTTTTTGTCTTTTGCTGGATTATGTTTTAGCTGCTTTTATTTTTCTCCAGCTATTTGGAAAGTTATGAATTCATATTTTTAATTGTATTAACAGATGATTTTAAATAGTTTTGATGAAAAACAATGCATGCAAAAAAGGGTACTATAAATATCTCATATTTTCAGAAATAAAAAGCTACCAAAACAACATCAAGAAACGGAAAATATCTTCTATTTCAGAAGCAGCCTCCTTGTCCTCCATTTTAGTCTCTGATCCTCCAAGGGTAGCTGCTCCCCTAATTTTTAAGAGCATACTTTAGTTTTGCACTTTATATAAATAGAATCACCCAGCATGTACTCCTTCATGACTGGTTTCCCTAGCTCAACATTATATTTATAAGTTATATCTATAGGGTCTTGGGAAGTTACAGTGTCTTCATTCTCATTGCTACCCAGTAGTCCTCCGGGTGAATATGCCACTATGTATCTATGAGCGTGCAAGACAAACAAATCTAAGTAAATACAAGTGTCTACAAAAACAGAACACATGCATTTGCTTACCTGGGACAGATGAATACACCTGCTCCCACCACAGCCAGATACTGGAAAGAAGTCAGCTAAAATTGTTATTGAACCATTTGGGCCAAGTAATGGATCTCAAGAGAGTGGAGAATGCCTGAAGCTTCAGATAAGATAGAAATTTGCATCTGCTGGCTGGCTCTTCTATATGCACCTCATTGGTGATCAAAAAGGATTGGTGAGAGTCCTGAAGGAAGAGATCAGCAGCTGTTAATAGGAAATCATAAAACTCCACCCACTTTTTCCTTGCCTACTCCTCTTCAAAATAAAAGCAGAGGGAAGGCCCACAAGCAACTCTTACATAGGGGCAATTGTGAAAGCCTACTTCCCAAGGGGAAGAAAAAAGAAAACATTTATGGAGAAACCCTTCTCTAGACAGGGCCAGGAATATGAACTAGGCTGAGAATTGCCCCAAGAAGAGGGGCAGGAACACTTAGAAGACCACAGTTCTGTGGCCTAGACAGTACCTGGATGAGGCGGAAGCTTGATTTGAAGAAAAGAGAATACACCTGCTCCCACCACAGGGCTAAGCATCCCATAAAAAGTAACAGCTACTAGAGGGACAAGATCAGAACCTCAGCCTCCATACCCCATGCAATTAAAGGTGTGTTTCTTTCAATAATAACTTATAAAACATAGCCAAAAATAATAAGAAGAACACCCAAGGGCACAAGCAAAACTACCGTCAAGACAACGCCATCAACAGAACCACATACACATGACACATATGTTGAAACTATCAGGAATTCCAAAATTAACACGTTAAAAGTGGTAATGGAAGAATGAGCAGCATGAAATATCAGATAGGTCATTTTTACAAAGAAATAGGAGCTAAAAGGGAAAAAAAAGAATCAGATGGAGATCCTAGAAATGAAGACATGGATGGTGGAGACGCCATCCATGGTCTCAACAGTAGACTGCTGGGGAAAGAAGCAATGGATTTGAAACTAGGTTCATAGAAATGACCCAAATTGAAACAAAAGGAGAAGGAAATAGCAGGAGGAGATCAATGAAAGAACAGAGCCCACAAGACCAGGAGACCCCCCAAAGCTACAGTGGACTCTCAGAAGGTGAAGAGAGAGAAAGAGACAGAAGAATACTTGGGAATATGAGGGCTAAGAATTTATCAAATAGGGAATAAATACAATTTTAAAACTGGGTGCCTCATATTCAAACCACTGGAAAACAAAGACGAGGAAAAATCTTGAGGTCACCAGACAAAAAGGCTGCCTTGCCTATAGAGAAATAAATATAAGAATCATAGTAAGCTTCTCATCTGATATCATGCATACCAGTAGAAAATGAGATGGCATTTTAAACTATTGGAAGAAAAATATCTGTCAATTCAGAATCCTATCCTCAACACAAGTACAAAAAAAAATGGTCTTTAAAAAGCAAATGCAAAAATACTTTATCAGACAAAGAGAAACTAAGAGAACTCACTGTCAGAAGACCTCTACTACCAAAAAAAGTAGTTATTATACATTTAAAAGCAGAAAGAATTTGATACCAGATAGACCATATGAAATCTGCATTATAGAAAATGACCCGGAGCTGGGCAAGATAGCATATGCCTATAATACCAGCAGCTCGAGAGGCTGAGGCAGGAGAATAGCAAGTTCAAAGTCAGCCTCAGCAATATAGTGATGTCCTAAGCAACTCGGCAAGACCATGTCTCTAAATAAAATATTTAAAAAGGGGCTGGGGATGTGGCTCAGTGGTTAAGTGCCCTGGGCTCAATCCCCAGTACTGAGAGAAGAGTTGGGAAACTAGATGACATCATATGGAAAAAGATGGAGACTGCATTAATAAAGATAACATAAAATTTCCTTTATTCTTATTTGTATTAACTTTAAAAGACAACTGTCTACAGCAAATATAGTTGGGATGCATCGTATTTATAACGTACGTAAGGGTAAAATGTACAATAAAAGTAATACAGAGAGAATAAAAGAGAAATTGGGAATAACATTTATATCAATAAGCAGTGTCTGCTCTATTTACCAAAAATCTTTCACTCCATACTTCTCATCTAGGTGGGACTCCTAGGTGCACTGGATGTGGAAAGAAGGCAGGGAGACTTGCTGACCCCCTTAGTGCCCAGAGATGACAAGGTGAAGCCCTGATTAACTCCAACAAGTGAAGAGACACAGAGACCCCTTTAGAACAAGTTTCAGCAGAAAGAAGACCAGTTATTTTCATGTATTCCTGCCATATACTTTTCTTTAGACCCTGGCAGATTTTTCAGACACTTGAAGAAAGAACTTATTCAAACCTTCTCTCCTGGTTCTAATTCACTCTCTATTCTATCCTATTCTGTTCTATTCCATTCTATTCCCGTTCTTGGGACAAAAGGCTTCTTTCTGCGGCAATGGAAGTCTCCAGGCCACACTGACAGCGGAAGAAGCAGTTCCCTGTAGCATACACTCCTTTCTTGGGCTGTCTCCTACCATACCAAAGGAGCCCACTTAGAAGCAAATTTACAACCCAAGCTGAAAAATCCAATCTCTCCGGCAAGAAAAAGCTGGATTTTATAATAACTCAGGAAGGTAGAATTTGAGAAAGGAATCACTACACTTTTGATGGTGTGTCAAATCTGCAACGGCTGAGCGAACTCCAGAAGCTGCCCAGTGCTGCCCAGCTCTCGGGCTTTGAGCTGAGCTAAAGAGGTTGGCAGGTGGTGATGGAGACAGGGCAGGCCTGGCGCAGGCAGCTGCTGACAGGAGCAGGGGGCAGGCTGGGGATCTGACACAGACCCAGCCCCACCTCCCTGCTGCCTGCACCATTCTATCATGATCCAATAACGGGTGAACCTGGCAGAGCCGCCATTTGTAAGCAACAAGCAGCTACCTGTGTAAAATCTGAGCCGGAAACACACACAGCAAGTCCCAACCCTCTAACCTTGGACATGCAACTCAATAATTAGAAGCCCCAAGCCAACGAAGAACCCCAATACATGGGCTAATGCTTCTGTTCATGCAAACTTAATCATTTGTTAAGGCCAATGTTTTTCTCCACCACAAAATTTTCTCTGATCATGTCCTAAAAGGACTTTGTCTGATGCTTAGATATGATGTTTCACCTAACAAATAAGATGGAAATATCTGCTACTGGAAAAACAAAAGGGAAAAATAAGGCATTCACACTAAGACTTGGTGGGTATTCTCTGAAGGCCAAGTCAGTGGTGTGTATCAAATGGAGACTGGACACACCCTTGGTCTTGGAATTCCTCTTCCAAGAATTTTAACCATGGGGACATGTGTGTACAAGGGTGTCCATGGAAAGCCATTCATACAGGGTGAATCTGAAGACAGATGTCCTAGTTCTGGTTCAAAGCTCCAAAGCATTCTGACTTTTACTTTTTATATCTGCAAAATGGTTACACACAGGGTTGTTGTGTAGATCGGGGAATAAAATGCATGTAACCAACTTGGCAAATAATGAAATCCAGTAACTTTCTATTTTCCTTATTTTATTGCATAATTTTATTACTTACATAACCATCAGTAGTATTTGATTAGATATAATAAATACTTGCAATAGGATATTGTAAAAGCTTTTAAAAGAATAAAAGCTCTTGAAACATATTGCATCAAAACAAAAAAAAAATCAGATTTCAGAAGAGCCTATGTATATATGTGTCTGCCACTATGTGGGTGAGTCCTGTGCCTAAGTCTATGATGTGTACATGTTTTCTGTGTTTGCAATGTATGCATGTGTGTGAGCGCCATGTGGAAGCCTTCATATGTGCATCTGTCTGTGGTGTGTGTATGTGTGAGGCATGTGTATACCTCTGCAGCATATGTGTGAGTTCTGCAGCTGTAGGTGGGGTATGCATGTGAGTTGAGTGCATGTGTGGTATGCATGTGAATTCAGTGTGTCTCTGGGTGTGTGTGCCTTTGAATGTAGCCAGTATTAGAAGATGAATAAGAACTTGGGCTCTGAATGAAAGGAGGCTGAGTTTTCTTCCTGACTGGTCAGAGTGTTTCACCCTGAAAAAGTTACTTAACTCCTCTAATTCCAGTTTTTTAAATTATTATTATTTATTAAAAACCATCACAATTCCTTCCTAATGGACATGTGAAAATCAGGTGACCAAATGTATAGGAAGCCTAGTCCTAGGTCTGGCACATAGTAGGTATCCAAGAAAGTTTAGCAGACATTCATCATTATCATATTTAGAGAGAGGTGTTGGAAAGGATATTATCTGACCCTTAACCCAGGAGTAAAAATCATTTGTAATTTTCTCTATTGCTTGATATTTTGCATGCATATATATCATCTCTGAAAATCATATATTCAGTGTGTGTCCTTTGCAACAAAAGCCTGACACTGGCATCCCCAGTACAAACACCCCTCATCTCCCACTGCTGTGCCAAGTGGTATATCTTTCAGAATTCATCTCCCTCTTCTCCTCTGACTTCCCATCCTCCTTGTAGCGATTCTGGATTAAAAGTTGAGACTGTGATGTTATGTCCAGAAAGCCCTGCTTTAAATTCCCATGATACCTGGGATTGGTCAGTTATTGGTGCAACTTTCTGTCTTAATCCCACTAGAATTGATTTCTTCAATCAGATTAACGTGTTACTTTGCACGGGGTGGGGTTATAGGGCAGCAGTGTCACTTGCTGTCAGAGCATGAGGAGGGGGAGCCCAGAGTGATGCAGATGAGTCCACAGCTGGAAAGGGACTTCAGAGGACTGAGATGACAGCACAGGCTAGAGATCGGTGGAGGACTGGAAGCTCAGCCTGAGTGGGGAGTCCATGGTCAAAGCAGACTAAAGGAAAATACACACACACACACACACACACACACACACACACACTTTCTGTACGATTTGGCTCAGGTCAGGTTTTCCCAAAAGTGCAGTGTTCCCATTCTTCATGTTTGCCAGAATCACCTTGGAAGCTTGTTGAAAACACAAGTTCCAGATACCCTTGTGCCCTAAGAGATTCTGATAAAGAGTTGAGGGGCTCAGGAGGTGGACATGGGCTTCCCTGGTGAGAAATGGATTAATTGCTGTGAAGCAATGTGAAAAGTCCTTAGGGTCCAAATCTCACTGTGAAAGGCCAGGTGATCTGCCGCTTTCCTAGCTGTGTGACTTCAGTTTAATTACTCAGCTTCTCTGGGCTCTTCATGCCAGAGAGATAAGGGCGATGAGCCAGAACAAAATGATGATGAAGCTAT